ACTCACAGAGCAAATGCGGCTAATGAATGCACGAGGAGGCCAGTCAATGCACACATGGCAGTAGACACATACGGGGCATGTGGAGTTCAGGGGCATAGATCAGAGGTGTGCCCATCAGCGTTTGCCCAGGAAGTATGAGAACAGTATGCAGACGTTAATGCCCTCCAAGGTTATCAGAACCGACATCTAATGACCCCTACTCCAACACGTACAATCCCGAGTGGAGGAATCACCCACATTTCTCGTGGCCCAACAACAACAACACCCTCCAACCACCTCGTCCAAACTTTAACCAACAGCAACCCCGTCCAAACCTCATGCAGCAGCAACCCCGTCCCAACTTCATTCCCCATCCGAGCTACCAACAACAACAGCAACCACAACAGCTAGCCCAAGGGTCCTGATCGAGCTCTTCGAACCAAGATGACAAACTGGACAAGATCCTTCAGTTTATCACGAACCAAGATTCATCGATTAAGCGTCTTGAGAAGCAAGTGGGCCAACTTGCCACGAGAGTCGGGAACGTGGAAGTCGAGTCCGACAAAGGGAAACTTCCTAGCCAGCCCGAGCAAGCAAAGGCGATAACAGTGTTGAGGAGCGGGAAGGAAGTGGACAACAAAGTGAGAATGCCCGAGCCTGATGACCCCAAACCAACCGACCAGCCCAAAGAGTCCGAAGAGAGCGCGAAGATCACAGAAAACGATTCAGGAAAACCGACAGAGAGTTCATCGCTTCACAAATCCCCAAACCCGTACAGGCCACGCATTCCTTTCCCAAGCCGACTTCGAGATGAGAAGCAGGAGCAGCAATTCCGAGACTTGTACAACATGCTCTCGAAGGTCAACGTCAACTTGCCTCTTCTAGAGGTGATAAAAAATATGCCATCGTACGTGAAATTTTTCAAAGACTTGGTCACAAAGAAGAGAAAGTTCGGAGATGGGGAGAAAGTGGTGGTCTACGAAGCAGCAAGTGCTATGCAACATGATTTGCCTAAGAAGGAACGAGACCCCGGAGGTTTCGTGATAAAGATTGCTCTC